ATTCTAAAGATAGGCTCATTTTAAAATTATTTTGCGACATTGCTATTGAACTGAAATTTATGGTTTAAGTGCGAAGAACATGATATTTAATAAATAAAGGTAACACACAAAACGTTAAAAAAACGCCCCTTTGTACGTAATTTAATATCTGAAACCTTTCAGATTTTTTTTGTTATTATTTTTTATTTATTCATTTATTTATCATGAAATTATCCAAATTCTACTTTACTGTCAAATATTTTTTCTATTCTTAACTTTATCGTGAGTTAAACTAAATTTGAATTAAATATATTTGAGAAACTACTTGCTGTCTCAGTTCATTAATGAATCCCCTTTGAGAGTACTAAAAATGGCAAGGAGAAGAGGAAGAAATTGCGAGTAATTTTATAAAAATCCTAGCTAAATTAACTTTAATTTGCTGGCTAGATCTTTACTTGAACTGTAAAGCGACTTTTACAGACGGCACTTCTGGTATTTACAAATTGAGCCAGTACATTTGGCTGCAACTCAAAATAGAAATATAAAGTTAAAACTAAATTAAATAATCAGTGAAAGCTGCACAGAGATAATTAACCCAAGTTGGCTCTAAGCCCTACCACCGACGTACACAAACCGGCAATTAATATGCACGGCCGTAAAATAGCAAGGTTAACTCAGTGAAATAACGTGGCTGAACGGCAGAACATACTTTGTCTGAAGTAACTCAGACACCAACTTTAATAGTATCTCTCTACCATACTTTAGATATCACGCAAAACTGAATTATTATCCTGACAGGGAAAGGAAATGAAAGAAGATAGAAAAGACAAATATCTAAACAAAACTAGTTAATTTAAAACTAAAATAACATTCCTTACAATTTTATAAGAAACATTGATTAATTAAATAGATGACAGCTGCAAAAAAAGAAAGCTAATTACAGCGACTGAAAAGCGAAAGAGTTCTACAAATCTGTTTAATTAAACTTCAAAACACATTGATTCATCTGGATGAATCACGGCAATTAAAACTCAATTCCTCAGTCCAATACAGAAAACAGCAAGAAACACAAAGAAACAGCTCTCTGTTTTACGCTCAACGTATCAGTCAACAAGACTTGCTTTTTCTTTTTATTTTATCGACCAATTTACATTACATATTAGCATAAGTGAGTGAAAATGAGTAACATAAATATAAAATTGGAGAAAGGCGTATAAATTAAGGAATGAAAACTAAAGAAGCTAATTAAAACATACTTTACCAAATTTCTTTTCAGAATTCATATTCATAACGTTTCAGTAAATTTTTCGTATATATTTAGATTTATGTTTTAGTTATATTATTTCACAAAACTTCAGTTAATTTTTTTTTCTTGTTACTTAATTTACTCCGTTTAGTTTTCTACTTCTAAACTCTGTTTATCATAATTTGTATTAATAAAAAAGCCTTAAAATCAGAAAAACATTTAAAATACCGATCAGATAAACATTAAAATATATGATTAATTTAATACTTTTATGAACCCATTTTTTTAATCGAATCATAATGGTAATTATTGATGAAGATTGTTTCATTTTTTCCGATCGAATCACTAGCTGGAATTTCGTCAATTACATACTCACAATGAATAAATTAATCACAATGAACAAATGAATCACAATGGACAAATGAATCACAATGAGCGAATGAATGATTACTCATTCAAAGAATGGAGTAAAAGCATAAAAGTATAGATTGTTATGATGAAAAACATTTACTATTTAAGGCAAAAAGGATTAAATATTCAAAACTGTATTAGCGTTGATTTCAGGGTAAATAAATCTAAGCCTCTCCGTTCACCTTTGACTAAAGGTCGCATTTTTGTACGGCTGAAAAACGTACCAAAGCACAAAAGCTTTGAAAAACATGCGTTTAAATAAGTGTTTTTACTAGCGTAAAGGGCGTTAGCCCAGAAGGGCTATTAATTTCGTTTTGGCATTTTTCGTCGAAAACTTTAAAAGTCTGAATCACTTTTAGAATTGTTGCCACCAATTACTATCGCCCTGTACTATATTTAAAGAAATTAATAATGAAGAATCTGCATTTATGCATGTTTCGCATATTGCGACAAAACAACAGTACATAGATCCACCAAATTTTGAGTAACGTACGTCTCTACCCGAATATGGACAACTGGAAGCCCAAATTTGTAATTTGGACTTTATTATATTATATATTCATATTCTGTAAAGCAATTTTGAGTTTCTGATTAAAAAATTCAACGATTTCAAAGCGACCAATAGCAATACTGTACGGGAAAAAATAAGATTTTTATCTCCAGCGCTCGAGGCTGTGTATCGGAAATTTTATGCTCTTTTTAAATTATTTTGTGATAGTTGAATTGAATTTTATGATTTTAGTGAGAAGAACATCCTATTTAATAAATAAAGGTAACACACATAGCATTAAGGAAACGCCCCTTTCGACGCAATATAAAACCTAAAAGCTCTCAGATATATATACATTAATTTCAGTAAAAAATTAAGTTCTGTTCCATTGCCTTTATTTCGGTTTTTTGCAGAATGTTTCTATAAAAATACTTGCCGTGTAATTATGTATTGCGTAATTTTGTTTTTAATATTAAAATTCTGATCTTCTTAATTATTTCTATAGTAGAATTCATATATTCATATTTATGTTATATTTTTAAAATTTAAAACTTTATTGCTCCCTTTCGCTCACGTGTTATCGTGAATAAGTAGAAAACATAAGTTAAGTATAAAAGTGAAATAATACATTATTCTTGTATTTTTATGATGGTAGTAAACATATTTCGAATTTAACCAGTTTTATTAAAAATATACAAAGTGGCTACCATTGAGTACTGATTATATAGACTCAATTTATTTATCTTAAAAGACATAGCAACTTGTTGTTTGTGTAAAACATATTGACTGATTCTCATTCGATCTAAAATAAATTCTCAAACGTGAAGTTCTAAAGTTATCTAGAATTTTATTTTGATTCAGTTTGCTGTTTCTTAACTTTATAAATTCGTATTTAAATATCTGAAGTTTTCTTAGTTCTAATGCAGTGAAATCAAATACCCTTTTCTATTCTCAAAATTACTCATTTTAATTAACAAAAACCTGAAAGCTCTTAAATTTTATATTACGTCCAAAGAGCCGTTTACTCGCTTTGAAATCGTCGAGTTTCTTAATCAAAAAGTCTTTAAAGTTTTACAAAAATAAAACAAATTCGAAATATAAAATTCAGGCTTCCTTTTTCGGATGGAGGATTACGTTATTCAAAATTTGGTACGATCGTTTTTCACAGTGCGAAATATACATATATTCATGCAGATTCTTCATTATTTATTTATTATTTAATTTCTTTAAATATAATACAGGGCGATAATAGTTGGTGGCAAAAATTTAGAAAAGGAGACGCCGTTTATAGTTAACCAATGCAAAATACTGTTTTGAGACTAATAGTCCTTCTTGGCTAACGTTCGTTTGAGCTAAAAATGCGTTTTACATTAAGTGTAGCCCATGCTCGTAAAGTTTTTAATATATGTCGGCATTTCTGATTTCCATGGAAAAAATCGTTCATTTTTCAGTCATTTAAAATTCATCCACCTACAGTTGAAAGTAATCTGTATATTTGTATCATTTTAAATTTATTTAGTTTACCAAGAGATGCGCGGTAAGATCGATGAACACTTGAAGTTCCATCTGAGTTCAAATCCCGGAGAAATGGATGCGGCATGAACGTTTTCATGGTTCTTACCCGTGAATATTATCCAATTTTTCTTTTTTAAGATTTAATATTTCTTCTCACTACTGAGAATTTACAAATATTAATCGCATCAAAAGTTTCGGACTCGTTTTATTCCTTTTGATCTCTTACAATAAAGCAAATGTTCGTAACAGTTGAGTACCCTGTTTTTAATATACTTTCTCGACTTACTTACATTATTATTAAGTATGTACAATATTAATGTACGTTATTTTATTATGGAAGAAAAACCATAAAATGAGATATACACCATTTTTCATAAAAGATCTTAATTAATAGTCATTTAATGTATCAAAAAGAAAATCATCTTAGCAAAATCACTTAACAATTCAAACAGCTATGATATAATATAGGCAAGACTATTGTACAACTTTCAGAATGGTGAGGATTTTCTTTCTGGCTTAAGTCACAACTGGCAAAAAGGATTCCACATCAGAAGCAATTTTTTTTTTCGGTAATGAAAATTATTTAATTGATTTGAGCTAAGTTGATTTTTAGTCCAAAGGGATTTTGCCCCTGAGGGACTACTGCTTTCGTTTTGCGATTTTGCGTCGAATCATTTTGAATGTCCGTTTCACTTTTCATACTGTTGCCACCAAATATTATCGCCCTGTATTATATTTGAAGAAATTAAATAATGAATAATCTGCATAAATGTATGCATGTTTCTCCAAATGTGATAAAACAACGGTACCTAGAGTCAGCCAAATTTGAATTACGTAATACTGCTGCGAATATGGGCATGTGAAAGCCCAAATTTAAAATTTCGAATTTGTTTTATTATCGATTTTATATTTTGTAAAACTTTAACGAATTTTTCATGAACAAACTCAAGCATTTCAAAGCGAACAATGGCAACGTTATACAGAAAAAACATTTTTATCTCCAGCGCCTGTGACTGTGTATCGGAAATTCTAAATATATGCTCATTTCAAAATTATTTTACGATATTGCTCTTGAACTGAATTGTATGGTTTAAGTGTGAAGAACGTGATATTTAATAAATAAAGGTAACACAAAATGTTACAAAAACGCCTCTTTGGACGTAATTTAAAATCTGAAACCTTTCAGATTTTCTTTTTAAAAGTTTTTTCTCCTGGTGGGAAAACTAATAAATCTGTTATAAAAGAATGAATTGGTATTATTTAAGACAACATTATGATATCTTGCTAAAACTTAATAACAAAAAAAAAAGAGTTTCCTGTCATTTGCAAATAGACGAAAAAAGAGATGTTCGCACTTACCGTTCAATATCAACCACCCCGAAACAATCCACCGCAGTCCCATGTCAACAGCTGAAACCACGTGCGTCTAATGTTTGTAAAAGCCCGTCTCAGTTGGTCAGAGCAAAAGCACAGAAACCCACATACACTTCTAACGAGAACTTCTTTAATAACGACGCAACAGGTTTCTTCTTTTCTGAGTCTTTGGAGCAATGACCGTTACGGATATAGAAGCCCAATGAGAAAGCGCTTCAGGGCCCGCTAGGCCTTCCGATGACCTGGAATTGCAGCCCTCCTAAAGCCGGCTGGTAATTCCTCTTTCGCGTGGATTGATTACTACAAGGGTTGTTGCCGTCAGGCTTGGGCAGCAGCGGATTTCGCTGTGGTCAGGGAAGAATAGGTTTGCTCAAGATCTCCATGAATGGATGGAAATACACAAAATTGCCAAACACAGCGAGAGATATCCGTGATAACTTTTGAAACTATCTATAGGGGAGTCATTTCTGGAACTAAAAATAGTAATAGTTGCATTCTGGGAATTTTTCAAAGGGGGGGGGGGTAAATTAATATTCGATGACCTATCACTGATTTTGTTTTTCTTGAGGTTTTGTTCCTAAAATATAGCTGCGTAATTAGTAAATTGTTTCATTTTGCGTGACCAGGTTGCTTAATATGTGACAAACAGCGAAATTCAAAATTCTTGGTTTCATTAGGAAAATAGATACTTAAACAAGAAAAAAATACTAATTAGTAATTAATGGGAAACTACGAATGTAATTCAAAATTACTTTGTGCTTTATAAAATGTTCTAGACTTTCAGTATACCCTAAATAACTCGATATTAAAATTTTATGTCTGACCGAATTAAAAGTCACTTCTTTTAACTCAATTTTTTTTCAAGAACTGTAATTAATATTGGTTTTGTAACCTGAATATTTTATTAATTGTTTGCGAAGTTTCTTCTCAAAAAGTAAAGTAGTATAAAAATATTAATATATAATTGATAAAGATATAATTAATTATGATAAAATTTGAAAATGTTATGTTCAACTCTGCAACTATTTATTAGCAGGTGATTTTAATGTCTAGTTATTTAAGTATTTGCCTTACTATGTGAAGATTCAATGTGAAGTTAATTATATGTAAAAGTTTTTTTTTTTTCTTTTTCCCCTTATTCTGTTGTTAATTCGGACTGGATTGAATTAGATTATTAAATTTTGGCAGAGATCACCATGATTGTCTGTCACTGTAAAGAAATACATTTGTGGAGAAGTTTCTAAGAGAAACAACTATCTGTTTACGTTACAAATGATGAAAACTTCGGGAAATCAGCTCGCTGAATCACCGCGAATGGTACTTGACATTAGCTCCCAGTATTTCCTCATTAACTTCTGTTGAGCCTCTTATTAATTTAAGCAATTTTAAATTGTCCGGTGTTCGATCTCTGGGCTGGGCAAAGTTGACTGACCCCTTCATCCCTTGAGTGAGTCGATAAAATGAGTACCAAGCTCGCTTGCGGACTAAACACCGGAGGTCCTGCGACAAACTGACCACTTGTCCAGGGTATATGCTCGTGCACCCCGGGGCCAACGGCCAGGAAAGCAGACATCAGAACTTGGCTCATTGCAGGCCATGGCTCACTAAGGCCTGATAAGCCAATGAGTTTAGTTTAGTTTAATTTTAAATTTCCATAGTTTTAACATGATCCATTGAAACTAATTATCATGCAGAACGCCTTAGAAAAAGAATCATTATGGCAAAAACAACATAATGAATAAAAATTGCTTAAATTTCTCAGTAATATTTTTTGTTTAATAATTAATTTGTTAATATATTAAAACCTTATATTAGCTCTATTCTACTTAATATTTACTAAGTAGCCAAACCGACACATTCAAATAGATCAGAAATTTTAATATACTCATTAATGAATTGATCAGGATTACAAATATTAGTTTAATTATGCACTGAATTATACATTTATTGCCTAATGAACTTAACATTATTGTTAAGCAACAAATGTGTCGTTAAAGATGGTGCGTTAAGATCAAAATCTTAACCATCAGATTTTAATTAATATTTCACTAAACTTAAGATTTTCAGTTTTTATCATAAAATAAATTATTTTTCAAATAAATTATACAGGAGACAGGAGACCACTGGGTGAGCAGCTGTGCCGCCATGAAGACTTTCTGCTTTATTGCTCACTCAGTGGGACTACGTTTATTTAAAATTTTATATTACAATAAAAATTTTGATTATGATGTATACATAATTTTGACATATACTTGACATACATTGAAAGAATTCATAATAATATTAACAGAAATTTTGATGGTACAAACATAAATTATACAGAAAGGTATGGTTTTTTACTTTCCAGTTTAATCTTTAATCCACAGTCCTCAGTTTTTTTAACTGAATCGTTAATTTTTTTACGAACGCTGATTTGATTACCTACAGGATTTTATTGCAACTTTAAAGGCTCTTTACCGTATAACATATTAAACCCAATATGTATTACTATTATAAAACAACTTGATCAGAATATTTTATAATTTCGCTTTATTAATGGAAGTATTCTGGAGGAACAACAGTTTTCTGACGTATATATTAGTCAACAGAATGCATCAGTATTTCAAAATAAACGAAATAACAAATGCATGATAGTTCAGAGTATGCGAATGATGCTGCCATACAGCGGGTCAAGCGTTCGTATACCGTATTTTCGTTTTTCGTGACCTATATTGATAACTGTTACTGACAACTGTTATTTAGTATACCTCTGCAAAAGTGTAAGGGGCCTTGTATAACTTGTAAACTTTAAAACGAGCAATAAAAGAAGAGATGTTGAACAAAATGTTGATTAGTAGAAAAACAGTTCGAAATATTTTTATAATATTTATTTAATGTAATTATAGAATAAATAAATAAGGTGCACACGAAAGAGAATGTTTAATTTTCAGGACATTATCTTCTATCTTAAAATCAAATCTTCGTCTTTTCTTGTCATGATAAAACTTTGGTTTCTCCCTGATCAGATCCGAAATTCTAATAGCTTCGTCCACTAATTTTTCAATGTCTGCCATTTTAAGTTCCGTAGACTTCTCTTGAATAAAAAAAGTTTATCGATGGGCGTTAAATCTTTTCCAAGAAGTAATTCAGTCGATGGCCTCCCGGCGGTATCATGTTTAGCCGTATTCAAGGCAAATGCGAGGTAATGGACACAATCTTTCCTATGTTTGTCATAATTTTTTACATATCTTTGGATAATTTTAACTATATTTCTATTCACTCGCTCTGCCGTATTCGACTGTGGTCGATAAGGAGCCATCTTAAAATGTTGTACATCTTGTACATATATCCTCAAAAATTGCTTTCCTTTGTATGATACTATTTTAAGTGGAACTCTACACTTTAATATTCAATTTATTTAAAAGTGAATCTGCAATAAATGTAGCAGAAGTTCTTTTCCTGGGAACTATTTCCACCCCCTTTAAGAAATGATCAGCGATTACGAGCAAATACCTATTTTTACTATTTTCCGTACCCCTCGCTAGGATATTTTGCACTAAAACAAATGATTGCCAATTATTCCATAATTCTCATCTCTGTTTCTAATACCAACCCTATCACGGTAGTTAAAATGGTCGGGATATTTCAAATATACATAAATATTTCTTTAATTCCGGGTCTGTGTGTAGTTCTGTAATAAATGGCTCTTAAGAATCTAAAAATTTAAGTTCACATGACGCATTTCATCTCTTTTCCCTCATAATCTATTTTAAATCATGATAGAGCATCCGCTACATTTTCTTTCCAGGAAGTATGTTTAAATATTAAAATGTAGTCTTACAATTTAAAGGCTCATCGTATAATCGAAATTCTTACCCGCTCATCGTATAATTCTTCCCGAAACACAAATGAAGGACGGCTGCATGGTTTGTACACACAGTATCCGCGACCTTCAAAAAATATAGTCGAAAATACACACAATACACCGCCAGAAAACTGGCAAGGTTTCCCTCTCGAAAGCAGTATAATTTCTTTAAGCTGGGTTAAATGTCTTACTAAAATGTGCAACTGGCTGTCCATATTGCATAAGCACAGCTCCTACCTCAAACTCTCATGAGTCTGCAAAGATTACTAACTTGCTGTCCGCTTCAGGAAATTTCCAGACGGAAGCTTTAAGACTTTCAATGCCGCTTTAAGACTTTCAAACGCTGTGTTTGCTTCTGCCGATGAAGTGAGCCTCGATTTGTTTTTAAACTTAGTTAAATAAGCAAAGTCTTTGATTAAATTGTTATACTAGGACCACAAGCCCAAAAATAATGCCAAATTCTTTGCCGTATTAAGTGGTGGATAAAGTTTCACCGCTGTAGTTTTAGAATCTTCCGTTTTAATTCATCCCTTGCGATATCTTATAGCCCATGTAACGAAGTTCTTTCGCCTCATATTTACATCTGCCTGCATTTACCTTTAAACCTGCTTCTTTTAGAAGCGAAACCTTTCGTGTGAATTCCGAATATATATGTTCATCAATTTTCTCGCTAATACCTAATATATATTCGAAGTAAATAAACGTAGATTTTCCTAGCACAGGGTCTTAGAATAATATCCATGGATCTTTGAAAAGTGCTGTTTGCTCCGCAAAAGCCAAACGATATTCTTAAAAAAGCATAAAATCCTGATTTGGCAATAAATACTGTTAAAATGGCACATCCTCTGGTTTTCCACGTATCTGAAAGAATGCATAGATGGAGACTAGCATCAGCATGTACTTTGTGGATTTGATTTATCGAATGATTTCCTCGGATATTAGTAAAGGGTAATCCTGATCCTTTTACGCTATTTAATTTTCTGTAGTCAATAGCAAAACGCCATGCTTTAAAAATGGTAAGTAAGAGATTATTTTTCATTTGGCACAGGAGGCTAACGTAGGGCTAACGTAATGGCTACTTATGGATATTATCATTTTATTCTTTAGCATTTCTGCAATATGCTGTTCAATTACTTCTTCCTTGACCTTATCATAGCGGTAGGATTCGGCTCATCAGGGGGCTTTTTTCCAGCTTTTTTCATTTTATTCTTTAGCATTTCTGCAATATGCTGTTCAATTACTTCTTCCTTGACCTTATCATAGCGGTAGGATTCGGCTCATTAGGGGGCTTTTTTGCAGCTTTTTTCCAGTGTGATTTACTTCT